GAGAGAGAGAGACAGAGGGAAACGTCAGTATGAGAGAAAAACATTGATTGGTTGCTTCCCCTATGCACTCTGCCTGGGGGTCAAACCCTCAACCTAGGTATGTGCCCTGACTTGGAGTCGAACCTGCAACCCTTTGTTGTATGGAACTATGCTCCAACCAACTGAGCCACCCAGCCAGGGCCTATTGCTCCATTTTTTAATAGTAATGATGCCTTCCTACCTTCTCTTCACTGATATCTGTTTGTAATCTTAATCTGAATGTTATTTTTAGAAACCTGCATACCCTTGATGGGCGTATCCTAGGGCTGCATTCTGAGAAGAAACCTCCAATCTCCAGGCTTAAGTTAGGTGTTCAATTTTTAATATAAACAACATTGTGCCTACTTCCAGCATTTAACTTTGTAGTAATTGCTTGATTACGACTCTGTCTTCAACAATAAGCTATTAAGTTTCTTTTGAATTTACATCTATTATATCTCTTGCTTCTGGCCCCAAACCAGGGCCGTAGTACAGCCCAGTAAATATTTGTTCCCATTATATACATTAATTTTCTTCATCTGTTTCTAATTAATCTTCTGCTCTATGAATTTAAATAACTGCTTGCTCAATTTGTTCTTTGCTAATACATATTTGTTGGTATTTTGTTAAAGTACTATTAGTTCCTTCAGGGTGTTCTGCCTTAATAACAGAACCTGCTCCTCAAGCACTTAAGCGCTCCTTCATTGGCTTCCATTCTCTGAAGCATCTAAGTCAGGGCATGCGAAATATTTCCCTTGTTAAGAGTTTAAAAGCTTGGATACTTCATTCAATTCGACTGGGTTTTAATCCTGGGTCTGTCTGACTAACAAAATGACTTTGGGCAAGCTTTACAACATTGCAAGTCTTGTTTTTCTCATTTGAATAATAATGCAATATAATCTAACCATAAAGATGAGGATTAAATGAGATAAATGTAAATCACTCTGAACAAGTTACTGTGATTATATTGTGTAGTGTTGTGTTCTGTAGGCGATAAGGAATTATTTTTGAGATGTCCAGCGTCCATATACTTGGGGCATGATGGCTGATATGTTATTAATGCCTAACAGATTGACAATGGCATAGGGAAGAAGTACATGCTGACATCAGCAATCCAATCTACAACTTTCCAGTGCTTTCTTTTCCCTTCTGCTTTAGCCTTGAAATCCTTGAGCACTCCCAAATTTTACTTTCTATTTCCATTCTAATTCCATAATTTCTTTGCCTTATTTGTACCATTAGGGTCCTGAGGAAATGGTGTAATGAGCTAATGCTTAATGTGGCACAGGCCTGTCCTAAGAGACACACTAATGTATCAGTATACTAAAAATGTTTGAAATACTAATTTTTCTCCTAATGAGCCTAAACATTTTATTATAGTTATACCTTAATACCAAGTTGCAGGTCATTACCTTCACATATTGAAAGCAGCTGATATTTTAGGGCTTAATGTTTCTGCCATTTGCTTGATGAACCCTCTCCCTTGTCCATTTTACATAGTAGAATTTTAAGTTATGAAAATTAGATCACTTGACAGGTAGTGTGTAGGATGTTTTGATTTCATTATTTATTTATTAAAATGTCTTTTCTGATTATATGATTATAATAATTAACATGTGCTAATTCCATTACATTTGAATTTTGAAAATGCTAAAAGGAACATGTAGAGAAATGATTTAACCTACCGCCTAAAGATTGTCATTTCTGATTTAGTTCCTACCACCCTCATTTTCAACATATGGTTTGTATGTGTATCAGACAATGTAAACAATTGTTTGCTCCTTGCATTGAACTACATATGCATGATTTCCCTCATATTAACAATTTTTGGAAATGTCATTATAATAGTCAAATTAGTAGTTTAGTTACATATCTATTTTTCCATTCATTGAGAATTATTTTCTTATATTTCTACAGCTCCCTCCTAAAAATAATATTGTGAGGACCATCTTTGTGACAAATATGGATCTAAGTTATTGACTTATTTAAATATATCCTAATGGGGAAATATATTTAAACATGTGTGATATATTATGCTATATATTTCTAAAATAGAATGTATTTGTTAAAATCTCAGACTCTGAAGTCAGCCAGACTTATGTGCTAATTCTCACTGCAAATCAATCTGCCTGGATAATTTTAGAAAAGTCACTTGACCTCTTTAAACCTCATTTTCCTCATCTATAAAATAGGATGATTGCACATAATGAAATATCTGTAAAAAAACATTTTCTTTGAAATCTCCCTTCATTTAGGTTTAGCACCTAACTATGCTAGTCATTGTTTTTCTTACCTAAGCAAGTTTTAGATAAATAATTTGTTTTTCCCCAGGTGGTCAGTTAATCCCTTTCCCACATCTCTCCATCCCCAGATTCCTCAAAACTCACACTATGCTGTTCAGATTAGCAATTATTTTAATATCTTCTCATCCCAATGGAAGGAAATTGACTGGCAGATGAGCTTCCATTTTGCATGAGGGAGGAGAAGGACGGATGTTGGGTCCTGAGGGTATTCCAAGTTTTTTGTTCTATATTCTCTGCGTCTTCTATCTCTTCCTTTCTTTCTAAATGATTCAGAACCATCAGGTTTAGAACTAATATTTACCTCAAGACTGCTATGGAAGGACTTGGACTAAAGTAAAACTTCTAGGTAAGCTCCACTGAGGCATTCTTCATCTGTTGGTTTAACAGGTGTTTTTTGAGGTGTACTATGCTCCAGACACGGCCATAGATGCTACATAGGCCTCACTAGCTAACTGAAAGTGTAGCTAAGTTGTTCCTTCACTTCCAGAAAATCTCTTGGTTATCAAATCTGAGCACAAACTTATTTCTTTATCACTTACTAAGTTGTTATATTCATTTTATCTAATGCATACTTTGCCGTAGCTTCCAACTATCTTGGAAAATGGAAAAAATCTGGCTAAATGATGCTATTCAAAATTGTTTAAAATAATCTTTACCTCTTTATTAATAAAACATTTAGCACAGTACTTGGTTCATTAAAAACACTTAATAAGTATTGACTATTATTTTAATATTATCAAACAGTTATATACTGGCCATTTGACAGCAGTACAAGTTAAATGTAAAAATACTAAAAGTATTTAAAGGTGTGTTTTTACCCCAAAAGTGATTGAATTATTTTTTATTGTAAGTATATTTCCTCAGATTTTAATATTCCATGGTATAAAACATGCTTTAAGATTAGGGTTAGTTTGTAGCATTCAGACAAGAAACGTGTATCAAGTCCATAACCTGCTATTGGTGTAAAGTGCATCCAAATTAAATTCTGATTAAAATTCATTCTGTTCCCAGAATAGGAAAAAAGGATTCCATTTTTTTGACTTCTGGAGGATATTTTAAAGCCCTTATATCTGGAAAGACTTCTAATTTCTAACATTAATATTCCCTGCTAATTCTGAGAACTTTTCTGAAACTTAAATTCACTGATTCTTCACAATTCTTACAATACATGTTTACATATTTGAAAATATTCCAAGTTCTCCATGTTCCTTTTTAGTCATAAAGAAGGTTAAATATCCCATTTTTTAAATTGGGGACAAGGTTGTTGTATTTCTTTGCCTATGGCTATGGTTATAGAATTTTACCACTAATGGCATTTGTTGCATTACTGGTGTGTTTAGGGAAAAACAGAGTCTGCTTGGAGTGTAATACAAGATGCACATTTTTGAAAGAAGGGATAGAAATCAAGGAGTAAGTGAAAATATTTGTGTGAGCTAGTTGAAAATGATAAGAAGCAAAATTGTACAATAATCAAGTTATTATCTTTAACATTTTAGAGTATTTAGGAAGGATACAAGTATGATTTTTGATTTGACATTAAAAAATTAAGCTAGAGCTGAAAGAGATAGTATATATTTATTAGGAAGCAGTATAATGACTTATCATAAACATTACTTATGGGCCTGATGTGACCAAAACTCATATTTAATTGGTTAGTGGATACAAAAATTAAATGACAGAATGATGAGAATGAATCTAGCTTATTGCTTGTCGGACAACAGAAACCCCTCTTACTCATCGCTACATCCCAGTCCCTGACGTGAAGCGGATGCTCAATAAACACCTGACAAGTCAGCCTGCGGGGTGCAAACAGACCTTGACTTATGATGTGATGCATCCATGCTGGTGCTCCCACATTGAGAAAAGAGCCTTCCTGTATCCATAACACTTGAATCCAATCACCTTTCCTTTTATTTTTCATTTCCCTTATCCAGTCACCTTTGTGTCCTTATCCTATCATGGATAACCCAGAAGCCCCAAAGATTTCCAGTAATTTTTTCTAACAGACTCTATCTTCTATGAGGAAAAACACTTTTTTCCTTATATTCATTTGTTCTCCTGTATTTTCACTTTTAAATTATCAATATAAACTAATTATGGCATATAAAGTGAGGTATTATCAATATTAACTATTTATAGCACATAAATGAGATGCCCTCTTAGTGCAGTACTTTCATGTATATAGTTTTTATGTGTAGATCACATATATCATACAGGACGGGACAAAAGTAGGTTTACCGTTGTGAGTATATGAAACACAGAGTTTATTTTTGTATTATTATGTATTAATCATTGTATTATTTTCCATACAAACAACTATAAACCTACTTTTGCCCTATCCTGCATACATGATATGTGTATGTGCCCATAAATAAATTAAAAGAGTGTGTGCATTTTTGTTTGATTACATGGTCTAATATAATAAAAATAATCAAAATGAATTGTTTTCTTAAAATTAATTATTTCAAAATTTACTATAGAATTTCATATATTTAAATTATCATTTTTTAACAACTTTCTCTTACAACAAAAGTATCATAAATACTTTTAGTTATGAGGAGAGTATACCTGTGGATTTAACAAAATTGTAACACAGGTCTCTTTTGTGTGAGTTACTATATATTTTTGTATATATGTAATATATGTGTATACACATTTCTTTTTTTATACACTTTAAAGGGTCACATAATAGCATCCTGTGATTCCTGTGGAGTTACAAAACTGTGGGACTTCCGCAAACTCTTACCGATTGTGTCCATTGATATAGGCCCAAGTCCTGGCAATGAGGTGAACTTTGACTCATCAGGTAGGATTTTGTGTAATATTTGTGACCAGTCTAACAACTTTAATATTTGTTCTGAAGCTATTTTCTATCTCTGCTTTAGTTTTCTCCTATGTAAATTTCTGTTCATACTATTATATTAGAATATATTATATTTTATTATATTTTGTATCATATGTCATATTATGGAAGCAATTGCATTTATTATATGAGTAAAGGAAGAAAATAGAGGAGGTAAGTGTGTGCTACTGTATATAACACAAATTCCTAGCAGTGCCATGCAAAACCTTGGAGCCTATGCTCCTTAGAATCACCACCTAAGGTAAGAAGTTGGTTTTTCTGAGGGCAAAATGGCTGAGAGTAAAGAACAACAACAATTTGGCAAGATACAATTAAAAAATTTCAATGGAATAACTTAGTCTCATAAAAATTTGCCAAACTACCCCAGATTCTCTAGATTTTATAATTTTTTTGAAATATATTCATTATATTGTTGCAATTATGTGCTCTGCATTTTGTAATATTATTATTTGTTTATGAACAAATTTTTTTACGAAATAACATAAACATTATCAATCTGATTAAATAGTTCCTCCTCGATGATGATAAATACTATAACAGCTGATATTAACAACTACATAATAATTCTAATGGTCTATTTAGGAAGTTAAAATTACAGTTACATCTTTATCTTTAATGACAGGCTTTTCTAAGTTAAAAATACATCTGTTATTGAGTAATATAACTTTATTTTGCTAGTGTGATACATGTTTTAAACTTTAAGGTTTGAGAATTTTTAAATTCTTTGATAGTTAATTTGTGGTGGATAGACCAAGTTGTAGAAATAAATATTTTAAGTGAAAAAATATATATGATATTTTATTTTTTAAAAATCCCATATTAATTGTTTATTCTAGAAAGTTTGTAGTGATTATAGAGACATGAGACAATTGTGTGTTTTGTGAGCCTGGTTTCATGATATTTCTATCACACAACTGAAATCTAGAATACTCTAAGTATGTTCCTGTTACAGATTAGTATATGAACCAAAATAATAACAATGGCTTCTTTTTGAAAATGTTTTAGCCATTAAGACGTTTATGGTTCAATAGAATTCAAAAATGTTTTTTTAAGTTCTGTAGAGAATAAAAGACCCCAACTATGAGAATTTCATTTTATAATATGACAGCCTACTAATTTCAATTTGTACTTTTTGATATACAAAATTTGCCTTGACATCGTAGTGCTAAAGATGTTTTATTTTGGTTTTCATAAACATTTTCACATCCTTAAATCCCTTTTTATTATCATAAGCTAGCATCTAAGTATTTTTGTCCTTGAATTTTGAAATGCTATAAACCTAATAAGTGATATTTAGTTTACTGTCATTATTAAATATGTTGCCACTTCCTTTTTACTGTCTTTGTCATACATCCCAAAATTTCTTCTCTATGCTTATTCAGGCAAACCTGATTTTAAATAAATATAGTATCTATCTTATTGTCATACAAGTCAATATCATCTTAAAGCCCTTGGTAACATCAAACCTATTTTTCTCTCCATGACTGTTATAGTCTTGGTAATTCACTAATATGAAAGCACAAGAACCAAGGGCAGAAGGGTAAGGAACATAAAAGGCAAAGAGTATAAAGTAGAAGCTCTGTTAATGAAACCACTCCATCAATCTGAGGGCATATAATTTTGGGTTTTTTTTAATTAAATTTATTGGGATGACATTGACTAGTAAGAATATATAGGTTTATCATTCATTCATTCATTCCTTTTATTAAATTTATTGGGGTAACATAGGTTAATAAGGTCATATAGGTTTCATTACCATGACACATGATGTGTATATTGCAGTGTGCCCACCACCCAAAGTCAAATACTCTTTCATCACCATATATTTGGCTCCCTTTACCCTCTACCCTGCCCCTAACCCCTTCCCTCTGGTAACCACCATACTGTTTTGTGCCTGTGCCTCTGAGTTTTTGTTTTATATCCCATGTGTAAGTAAAAGTACATGGTTCTTAGCTTTTTCTGACTGAATTATTTTACTTAACATAATATTCTCAAGGTCCATCCATGTTGTCACATATGGCAGTATTTCATCTTTTCTTATGGCTGAGTAGTATTCCATAGTATATATGTACCACATCTTCTTTATCCAATCCCGTATCAAAGGTCATTTTGGTTGTCTCCATGTCTTGGCCACCATGAATAGTACTGTGTTGAACATAGGTGAGCACATTTGAAACACTGAAAACTTGAGGGAATATAATTTCAACCTGACCTTTCCATCCTTTTGATTATTTCTTTAGAAAACATACTATCATTAATTTTCATTCTATCTGTTTGAGAAATGAATGTCATAAGCCTTTTTCTCATTTGCTAATAAGAAAGTTGTGCTTCTGCGGGAGAGAAGTCATTTAAATGAAGAGTCATTTAAAAAGGTTGACATATATTAGAAGTTGGAAGACCAAGGGAGAGCAAAACACAAGGTCAAATGAGAGCAGAAACAGAGAGGTGAAAATCACAAAGTCAAAGACTAGAAATTACATTCATTTTAACAAAGTAAAGAAATGCAAGTCAAGAGCAAAACAAAATCAAAATAAGAATAGAGGTGGATAGATCTCTTTTAATCTGTATTCAGGAAGATTCTTTAAAAGAAAAGTACAATAAAATTATATCATGAAAATATTTAGACTAGGAGGGTAAAATCAAATCTAACTGAAAAAGCTCAAAATATACATTTGCTTGACATATTTTTTATTTATTCCCAGTGACAAGCCAATACAAGCATATATGGGTCATTTTTTTTAAAAAATGAGTGTATGGATACTATTAACAATAATTAACATTTATTGAGGTCTCACATTAGTTAAGTTGTGCCAGCTCACGTTTCCAGGTTGAAATTCTGACAGAATTAAATTGTGCAGTTATATACACCTAAAAATTATTTGTCACAGCTTAACTGTGAGACAGGTTCTAGTCTGCTACTTTAGCTATGTCCTTGGACCTGAGAAATGATCATTAAAAACATATGTGTAATATCCCCATAATATTATAACATACATATGGAAATACTGATAGCACTTTGAAATATTTAACATCAGGAATGTTAGTTGTTCAATATTCTAAACTATTATGCAAACAAAAATTCTAATCATATTTTATGTTTCTGGATCAATTTAAGAGCTTCTTGAGATTATGAGGTGTTCTGTTTAAAAGAACTCTTTCCATATACGATGATTTATCTTTATAAACAAGGGATTTATTGTCACTGCAAATTCAACACAGTATAGAAATAAATTGGGGTAGAGCTCATTAAAAGGCTGAAATTGCTATTCATAACATTTGACTTCAAATTTGTATGTATATCAGAATTGCCTCATTATTAACTTCAAGTGTAAATGCTTCATTTTGAATTTATAAAAATAAATGTATGCTAATAAAATACTACTTTATTTTAAAATTGCAATTACTTATAGTGTATCATTTTAAAAATATATCTTTGAAAAAAAATTTGAAAACCAGTGGCATAGTAAAAGAGTATATATTATAATTTAGAGCCTTAGATATTCATCATTTTTAATACTTTAAGAAAATTTTTTAATCTCCCCAAAATAAAGTTCCCCATGGAGGAGATCATTTCTTACACTATTCAAATGTGTTTTGAAAGGATAATGTATATCCTATAATGTGGACATCCTCATATAGTCCCCTACTATGTTATATTCTAGCTAGAAGGGGTATTAGGAAGCCATTCCATTCATTTCAGGGATGAGAGAAAAATGTATGTATACACTGGTGTGCAAATAAGATGCCTAAGATTGTGTGCTAGTATAGGTTTCTAGTGAAAACATAAACACCAATGAATAAATATTAAGGAAACCAGGCTCAAAGCTCACTTTCATTTAATATTAAAAATAATTTAAATGGTTATCTCAGAAGTAAAGTTGTTTATAACATTACATATACAATGTAATTAAAATAAAAAATTTAAAGATGTATGAATCACCATCTAGAGTCTGGTTTTTCTGTTGCTGTTAAGAAGCCTGCTTTTCACACATTTAAAAGAGGAGGTGCATATGGCATAGTATTATTTACATAATGTTTTATTTGCAAATACGTTGTTTGTGACATATTATCAGTGTTTACAGATATATACATATATTAGTATATATTTGTAACTCATGTATTTGTAAAAGGATAAGTGTTCCTTTCTCATTACACAGAAAGCCTCCTGGTAATATAATGCTACACATTTCTGCAAATATTTACTATCTAAATAATATCTCTCACTTGGAATATGCAGATGCCATATGTTTTATCATTCAACAATTTATTACAATTTCAGAAAATGTGAAATAGAATTGTGTAAAGTAATAAAAATGAAATGTGAGAATTTATACTTACTCTTCCACATTTCTCACTTCCTCATGTTTATGTAGTTTGGCAGTGCGTGCATTTCTCTCCTTTGTCAAAAGTAATTCCAGCATGTTTGCAAAGCCACATCCCTAGTTAAATGCAGGAGCTAAAGTTTGAGCCAGATGAGGACCTTCCAGTAGAGAACTAATCAGTGTCAGATCGTCAAAATGGGCAAGGTTTCCCTCTCTTTGGAAAAAAACCTAAATATTCTCCACAAGCAGAACCACAATGAAAATGCTATAAAATTGGGGTGGGGTGGGGTGCGGGGAGGGCGGGCATCATCCCATTGGAAGATACAAGAAATATAAGACCCCTCCAAAATTTTTCAAAATATAGTACAATACCCACAAAAATCTTCATTCAAATTAGTTTTATTGATTTTGTTAGTAAAGGCTTTTCAGTTCATTGTTCTGTGTATAAAAGGCAGATTGTAGTTAATTCGTTCTGACGGAAGTAGTGTGGCGTAAAAGGGAAAGCACTCATTAAGAAGTTAGAGTCCTGTTTTTGAATTTTGTCTGCCATACTCCCAAGCTGAATGGTCTTGGTGAAATTTCTAAATATTTCTGAGCCTCATATATGAAGTAATGAAAACC